GTTTCATGTAAGAAATTCTGCCCTATTGAGATTATAAACATATTCAGTGATATAGCACATGGCCAATTTTGTAAATGTTCCATGTATGCTTAAGAAGAATATATGTTTCTAATTGGGTACAGTGTTTTATATGTATTCATTAAATTAAGCTTTTAAACTAGGTCATATCATTTTCTCAGTTGAGTTGATGAGGTTATTCTACTGCTGTGTTGGTGGGTTTGTCAATTTCTTTAGGATTTTTTGCTTTATATATTTTTGAAGCTGTGCTATTATGTGTGCACTGGGTATACAATTATTAAGTTTAAAGTTTTGCATTTCCAGGTGCTGTTTCCATTTCCATTTCCATTAATGCTTTTCATCTTGAGTTTTTTTCTTCAATTAAATTTGCCTAGTACATTATTTTTCATGTTATTATTTCCAGATTTTTAGTGTCTTTATGTTTTCAGTGTTTTTTTTTTTTTTGCAGATAGCATACAGTTATATTTTAAAATTCCTTTCTATCACTAATTAGTATTCATATTTATTACTCTTTAATGCTTGCTATTTCTCTCCTTTTTGTGTTTTTCTCTTATATTTTTACCCCCTTCTCCCACCACTTTACTGTTTTAAAATGTTACCTATTCTGTTAAAATGCTTTCAGTAGTTATCCTTGAAATTGACCCAAAGTTAACGTCTAAACAGAATCTAAAGTTATTATAATCTTTTAAAAAAAATCTAATTCCAGGGGTGTCTGGGTGGCTCAGATGGTTGAGCGTCTGCCTTCGGCTCAGGTCATGATCCCAGGGTCCTGGGATCGAGTCCCGCATCGGGCTCCCTGCTAGGCGGGGAGCCTGCTTCTCCCTCTGCCTCTGCCTCTGCCTCTCTCTCTCTCTCTGACTCTCATGAATAAATAAATAAAAAACATTAAAAAAAAATCTAATTCCAGTATAGTTGACATACAATGCTGTATTAGTTTCAGGTGTACAATATACTGATTCACAGTTTTGTACATTACTCAGTGCTCATTGTGATAAGTATAGTCTTAATCCCCGTCACCTTTTTCATGCATCTCCCCACCTACCTCCTCTCTGGTAGCCGTCAGTTTGTTCTCTGTAGTTAAGATTCTTTTTTTTTATTTGTCTCTTTTTTTCTTTGTTCATTTGTTTTGTTTCTTAAATTCTACATATGAGTGAAATCATATGATGTTTGTCTTTCTCTGACTTTGTTACTTAGCGTTATACCCTCTCGATCCATCCATGTTGTTGCAAATGGAAAGATTTCATTCTTTTTCATGGCTGAGTAATATTCATGTGTGTGGGTGTGTGTGTACACACGTACACCACATCTTCTTTATCCATTCATCTGTCAGTGGACACTTGGGCTGCTTCCATAGTTCAGCTATTGTAAATAATGCTGTAATAAACATAGGGTGCTTGTATCTTTTTGAATTAGTATTTTCAGATTGTTTGGGTAAATACCCAGGAGTGGAATTACTGGATCATATGGTAGTTCTGTTTTTAATTTTCTGAGGAATCTCCATTCTGTTTTCCACAATGGCTGCACCAGTTTTCATTCCCATCAACAGTGTACAAGGGCTCCTTTTTCTTCACATCCTTGTCAACACTTGTTGTTTGTTTGTTTGTTTCTTTTTTTTACTTTAGCCGTTCTGACACATGTTAGATAATATCTCATTGTGGTTTTGATTTGCATTTCCCTGATGATCAGTGATATTGAGCATCTTTTTATTAAATTTAATATCTTAATTACTCTCCTGAACAACATAAGTGCTCCAGAATTGAAACTTTCTTCATTCTTCTGATTTATATGCCGTTTTTTGTTGTATTTATTCTGACATGTTCTTAAGCCCCATAATTTAGATGTTATAATTAATGTTACAAACAGTATTTAAAATTACTTATTGATTACAGGTTTTCTTTTCATTTTGTGCTTCAGGCCTTCCAGTTTGTTTACTGAAAAATTTTTTTTTTTTTTAAGATTTTATTTATTTGACGGAGATGCAGTAAGAGAGGGAACACAAGCAGGGGGAGTGGTAGAGAGAGAAGCAGGCTTCCCGCCGAGCAGGGAGCCTGATGTGGGGCTCGATCCCAGGACCCTGGGATCATGACCTGAGCCGAAGGCAGATGCTTAATGATGGAGCCACCCAGGCGCCCCTGTTTACTGAATTTTTTAAGCACACAATTTCACACATTTTTTTTTAATGGCTTATAGGCAATATTCTTTGTTTTCATTCACATGAAAAAAATATTGCTCGTTTTATTGTGGGATAGTTTTTTCAGGATCTGAATTTTAGATTGGAGTTGTTTTCTTTCAACTTTTTGAGGATAATCAAAGTTCCTTTTCCTAGCTGCTTTTCTTGCTATTCTTGATGGTCCTGTCAGGTGAGTTATCTCTTCTGTTTGTCTGATTTTTTTTTTTCAAGTTTTTTTTTTTTTTTTAAAGATCCGATTCACTTATTCATGAGAGACAGAGAGAGGCAGAGGGAGAGGCAAGGAGCAGGGAGCCTGATGTGGGACTCGATCCCAGGACCCTGGGATCATGACCTGAGCCGAAGGCAGACGCTTAACCATCTGAACCACCCAGGCGCCCCAAGATTTATTTATTTAGGGGCACCTGGGTGGCTCAGTTGGTTAGGCGTCTGCCTTCGGCTTGGGTCATGATCCCAGGGGCCTGGGATCAAGTCCCACGTCAGGTTCCCTGCTCTGTGGAGAATCTGCTTCTCCATTTCTCTCTCTCTCTGCCTCTCCCCCTGCTTGTGCTTGAGCTCTCTCTCTCTCTCTCTCTCTCTCTCTCTCTCAAATAAATAGATGGGGTCTTTGGAAAAATAAAGATTTATTTATGAGACAGAGAGAGGTACAGAGAGACAGGGAGAAAGCGAGAGGAGGGTGCACGGATGGGGGGAGGGGCAGAGGGAAGAGAAAGATCATCTCAAGCTGACTCCCCATAGAGTGCAGAGCCCAACCTGGGGCGCCATCTCTTGACCCCAAGATCATTACCTGAGCCAAAATCAAGAGTCAGGCACTTAACCGAATGAGCCACCCAGGTGCCCCTATTTGTCTGATTTTAAAATCATTTTGTTTTTGAACAGAAACACAGTTTTGCCTTACTGTGTCTAATTATTGATTTCTTTTAAATTATCCTACTTGATAGGAATAATTTCTTTGTATTTATATCTGTTTTCAGTTCTGTAAAATTGTCAACATGAATTCTTCAAATATTTCTTCTTCAGTCTTTTACAGTTTTCTGGGTCTCTAAGTGCCCATATTTTCAACCTTATACTTTTATACTTCTTAACCTCTGTTTCAAATTTTCTACCTTTTTATTTTTTATCCTTAGTTCTGGTTAATTCCTTTAGATTTATTTTCCGGTTCACAAATTCTCTTTTCAGTTTCTCTCAGTTTTAGTGTTTTTTCTTTTGTCGGTATTTGTCTCCAAATGAGTATTGTCCTCTTTGTCTTTCCCCTCCTCGGCACCATTATATTTTCTGAATTCTCTGAATTCAGCTTATTTGCTTGTATATCTGTTAAATCTTTGTAAGTTGTCTTACTTTCTTGTGATTCAAGCACTGCTTTAAAATAAGATTTTTACCTACCACCTAGTTTTAGCAGGGGTTCACTTTAGAGTGTTTTATTCAAGGTAGTACCTTAATATTTCTTACTTAAATACATTTGCAGTTATTGTATACTTATGATGAACTTGTGTCATCTCAAGCTCTCGTCATTTGTCTCATCTCTGTGTCTGTGGGCCTCAAGCATAATAGAAAAATAACCATTTGTGGGAAGAATTGTCTTATCCTTTCATTTAAAATGGTGTAGGCAATATTATATATTGAGGACCATAGATTTTTTTAAAATAGATTTATATGCCAATATATTTCAGGTTTGCTGGCTTTATATATATGTGATTTAGTTCTGATCTTCTAATGTATATGGTAGACTAGTACATTCATATTACATATTACTGCCCCTTAATTTAGTAATCAGTATTAACTTAAATATATATTCTGTCAATCAAGGATAATTTCTCTTATTCAAAGAGTACAGGGTTGCAATATAAGGATGATGAAAAAGTAATTAGTTTTCTTTTGAACATTGTTTTCTAACAATTTCTGCATATTAAAATTCTCAAAATTCTAAAATTTAGCATGGTAGTTATAAAGGATCCTATCTTAATTTATTTTTTATTATTTTTTAAAGATTTTATTTATTTATTTGACAGAGACACAGCGAGAGAGGGAACACAAGCAGGGGGAGTGGGAGAGGGGGAGGCAGGCCTCCTGCTGATCAGGGAGCCCGATGCAGGGCTCGATCCCAGGACCCCGGGAACATGACCTGAGCTGAAGGCAGACGCTCAACAACTGAGCCACCCAGGCGCCCCGATTCTATCTTAATTTGGAGAGTTGAAAGAAGGTTCTTATTTCATTCTTATAAAATTGGCCTTGAGAGCCTATTTGCATATTTTATTTATTTTATTTTTTTAATTTATTTATTTTTTTGGCTGGAAGATTAGAGTTTTATAGCAAACCATATTGCACCAACCAGGGGCCTAGCCCAGCTGGGACTTAGCACTTGGCCCCACCAGGTTGCTTCCTCCTCCTCCCCCAACTGGCCCCATCCTCAGGCCTTTCTCCATCTCCAGAAGCCCCTCCCCTCTGGCCTTTGGTCCACCCAGCCCCTCCCCCACCTATGCGCCTCCCTGTAACCTGAGGTATGTTGATAGATTTCCCCCCTCCCTTACATAGTACAAGCAGGCTTCCCCAGGAGGCTTGGGCTCAGGGGCAGGACCTGGACCCAAACTCCTGCCCCTGGCCCCGCAAACCCTGAGCTTATTTGCATTTTAAAATAAAAATTGAAAAATATGGTCTAAGAACTATGAGTATTTACCATTTTTAGTTATTTTAATATGTTGATATTTTGAATATGCAATCATTTAGGTATTCTGTGCAGAAAAAGACTATCATTTGTTCTTAGTTACAAGTGTCTTTTCTTATGTTACTACTTTAGACAAAGAAACAGCCTTGGTATAACAGCACATTAGCATCAAGAAGAAAACGACTCACTGCTCATTTTGAAGATTTAGAGCAATGTTACTTTTCTACAAGGATGTCTCGAATTTCAGGTACATATTCCAGACTTCTTAAAATAAATCAAGTTCATATGTCAGATCCATTTCTAGTTTCTTATGCTGGATTTATATAAAGTCCTATTTATAAAACAAAAGTATGTATTTTCAACATATTCTACCAGAATGTTATGGAGGTTCTTAGAGATATTGAAGAACATTTTTTTTTTTTTTAAGATTTATTTATTTGACACAGAGAGAGAGACAGCTAGAGAGGGAACACAAGCAGGGGGAGTGGAAGAGGGAGAAGCAGGCTCCTGGCTGAGCAGGGAGCCCTATGCGGGGCTCGATCCCAGGACCCTGGGATCATGACCTGAGCCGAAGGCAGACACTTAACGACTGAGCCACCCAGGCGCCCCAAGATATTGAAGAACATCTGTTGCCCATAGCTGTTTTTGTTTTTTTCCCCCTCTATTTGGGGATTTTTAATCTTTGTGTAGTGAGCTATATAAAGTTAAAAAAAAATCAACCATGAATATGTTGCTACGAGAAATAAGTTCCATTCAATTGCCTCTTATTATGAAAAATTAAACATTTATTAAGTTTTAAGCACTGTCCTTTGTGCTAAGAATAAAAAGATGAAAGAACTGATTTCTGTTGTCAGGGAGTATTGTAAATTCAGTGGGGCAAAGCAACAGGTAAATAATTCTACGTGATATTATATGTTGTATAAGTGTGTTAGGAGAATAGAGAAGAATATCCACTAATACAGCCGGGAATGAAAAATCCACACCAAGTTGAAAATGGGGAAATGTAAGGGAATGATCACTGTAGGGATTTTAGAGGATTGTATTTAGTCAAGGCTAGAATTCATTAACTAAATAAGGTAATTAGAAACATCTTCAAAATAGAGGAAATAACTTATGCAACGTCATGGACATGATAGGATATTTTCATTGCATTACTGTAGTTCTGCCCCTTGAGTTGTAACTTTCTCAGTGTCTTTGCTCACCAATGAAGTAGGGACATTAATACCAACCCTATGTTTTGTTTTGTTTTTTAGGATTTATAGGTGATATATCTATAAAATACAAATTAGGTGCTCAGTTAACTCATGTCATTAGTAATACGCCTGCTCAAAATGAGGACCACCCAGGAAAAAAATGTGTGATATTTTATTAGTTGTTAAAAATTTGGCCTTAGTTTTCTCTTGAATAGGCATGTTTGTATTAAAATCTACACATTTTTAAAATTAAGAACACAGGAAACAATGGGTGTTGGTGAGGATGTGGAGAAAGGGGAACCCTCTTGCACCTTGGTGGGAATGCAAACTGTTGTAGCATCTCTGGAAAACATTATGGAGGTTTCTCAAAATGTTAAAAATAGAACTACCCTGTGATCTAGCGGTTCTACTACTAGGTATTTATTCAAAGGATAACAAAAACACAGATTCAAAGGGGTATATGTATCCTGATGTTTATAGCAGCATTATTAACAATAGCCAAACTATGGAAAGAGCCTAGATGTCCATTGAGTGATGAATGGATAAAGAAGATGTGGTATATATTCACAGTGAAATATTAGCCATCAATTAGAATGAAATCTTGCCATGCACAATGATGTGGATGCAGCTAGAGTGTATTATGCTAAGTGAAATAAGTCAGAGAAAGGCAACTACCATATGACTTCACTCATATGTGGAATTTAAGAAACAAATCAGAAGAACATATGGGAGCAGGGGTAAAAAGAGAAAACAAACCAGAAGAGATAGAGAATAAACTGAGGGATGATGGAGGGAGATGGGTAGGGGATGGGCTAGATGGGTGATGGGTATTAAGGAGGGCACTTCTTATGATGAGCACTGGGTGTTGTATGTAAGTGATGAATCACTGATTTCTACTCCTGAGACCAATATTGCACTGTGTGCTGACTGACTAGAATTTAAATAAAAATTTGAAGGGAAAGAAAAAATATACACATTGCTTAGGACCTTTGGACAAATTTGCCTTAGGATAGGCGGTGGAAGAAAAAGAAGATTTACATACCATTTTTCCTGTGAATTCTAGGTGGGAACCAAGCTTTGTTTATAAATGTGTATGCAATTAATGATCAACAGTTTTTATAAGATGGGAAACTTTCATTGTATTGCCTGGGAATTGAACCCCTTTTTGAGCCTCTGTAATAGTCTATAAAGTGCAATAGGAAGCTGTGAAATTGAAAATGGTTTGATATTTACAAACTGATTGGCAGAAGGTTCATATTAACGCTGTTAGATGTTATTTGTTGGTACATTGTTGAAATACATCCATAGGCAAATGGCAGACATTTAAAAGAAAAAGAGAGGTAGGAAAGAGAGGTTGGGGAATAGTTTTTAAGTAACTAGCAGCGTGGCATTGCTGTGGCATAGTAAAGGTGTAGTCACAGACCAATTTATTTTGGGGATATAAAATTACTGGAAGGTAGAATAAATTAAAAACAGGAGGAAGATTAGATTTTCATTTTTATGGGCATGGTTATATTGTATTTAAAACATGTTGTCCTTAGTTTTTAGGAGTCTCAAGTTTATCTTACTGAATTTACACATTGACTATACTTAACCGTATTGGTGAATATGAAGTTCCTCCTAGTGTCCTTGACTGTGAAGAGGAAATTTTAACTTCTTTGTAATGGAGTACATAGTGTTTGTTTTTCCTTCTTTATATTTTTAAATGAAAATCCATCCCCTCTTTCTGACTTTCAATTTTCAACTCTGGAAATGAGAGATGAAGATTAAGAGATTAATGCCCTGGACTCTTAATTGTAATTGGAAGAGAAGGTAAATTATAAAGCATTAGAAGAGAGGAAAAGATGCTGAACACACTTTCACAAACTAATCTGTAATTGGAATAGGAAAAGTAATACGCTAGCAGATATGTATGATTATTGACCATAAACCTACCAAGCATACAAAATCCTACCTTTTCATAACCAGATAAAAATCAAATGCCCATACTTTCAGATACTAAAATAATTATTTTTAGTGTTTTCTTTATAACTTCTTTTGGAAGTAGATGTTAATCAATAGGTGTGATGGCCCCAGAAGTTTAGCTACCCAGGAAAAGATTATGGACTTAAGCAGAATATACATTCTTGAATGCTTGTAAATTTTTTATACTTAGGGATTGGTGTCAAAATATGAAAGAATAGATTTACATTAAATTAGTATTTAAACAAATATCTAAGGTGTCTTTCCAGTCACTATTTATTATATTAAATACTCAGAGTTAATAAGATTATATATAAAAAGAACCAAGTAGTTGTTACATTCAAACCACTTTGTAGTACAGTTGATATTGTTTTACTGCAGTAACCCATGTTTTATTTCCAATTTGTTGAATTTACTGAGAAGAATTTTTGTGGAACATTATTTAAGTAACATTATGACAGTACATGCTAATTGGGTTTGTTTTTTGCTGTTTTTAGAATGGAAACAGTATAAAATTGGAACCTTTGATATAGGTTGTTAGATGAATTTGCCATTTTAGTGTTTAAATCTTTAAAATGTAAAATATCAGAGACAGAAGCTTAGTATCAGAGACTAGTAATTGTTTTTTTGCCATAGTAGTGTTAGATAAATTTCTTTATGTCAATAGTTACCTTCAAGATAACCTAGTATCTCCAGATGAATTAAATCAATTCTTTACTGTCTATCCTTGGTACCTTAACTCTGTAGACTTAGTGATTTTTTTTTTTTTTAAGATTTTATTTATTATTTATTAGAGAGAGAGAGCATGAGCCTGGTAAGCAGCAAAGGGAGAAGCAGACTCCCCACTGAGCAGGAAGCCTGACATGGGGTTTGATCCTGGGACTCCAGGATCATGACCTGAGACAAAAGCAGACGCTCAACCAACTGAACCATCCAGGCGCCTCAGACTTAATGATTCTTATATCTAAATTTCATTATGCCTGCTTATTTTCAGAGGACATTTAAGAAGGGGAAATCATGGGGCAACTGCGGGGCTCACTTGGTTAAGTGTCCCACTCTTGGTTTTGGCTCAGGTCATGATCTCGGGGTTGTGAGATGGAGCACCACGTTGGGCTCCCTGCTCCGTGGGAAGTCTGCTTTCTCTCTCTCCCACCCCCTGCTTGTGCGCGCTCTCTCTTTCTTTCTCTCTCTCTCAAATAAATAAATCTTTAAAGTGTGTGTGGGGGGGAAATCACGAAAGTTTACCTTGAAAAAGTTGTATGTGTTTGTATGTGTATAAGCTAAAACTAATGAAGAAGGTATGAAAACAGTGCTGTAACAATCTTCAAATTTCAGTTAGGAAGCTAACTAAATTGGGTGTTTTCTTTCTTTGTAAAGGAAAATACAAGTCCAAACCTAAAGCATTTTTGAAAAGCAATGATTTTTTATTCATGCTTTCTCTGTAGTCTTGTTTCTGGGTTGGAGAATAGATAGCTGTATTTATTCCATCTTTCATGAGATGATTTTGTGATTTAAATTCCACATAATTTAATTATGAATAGTTTACTGAAATGGACTTTATTCAAAGTATTTATGCAGTGCTCTAGTGGATGGAGTTAATGTTTTCCTTGGTCCACCAAGACATTTGAGTAGAAGTATTTTATTTTTGAGAATTATTGATATATTACAGTTTTCTCCTCCCTTTTCATAATTGATTTGAGAAACATCAAAGTATAATGTGAGCAAGTATTTCACTTTCTTTTTACTTAAAAAGCAATTGCTTTCTTTATGTTATAAATTGTGTTTTGATAGTAAATAAATGTGGGCTTGCAGATGTATCTCTGTAAATGTGTTCCTTCAAAATAACGAATATACTCAGTGTATATACTCCTGTCCACCTTCATTTTCTCCATTGATAAGGGATTTTTGTTTTAATAAAAGATTATATTGCTCTTGATCAGAGGTACTTTTTTATTTTCCAAGATATTATTGCTTAAAAAATAAAGTGTTTACAGTATGTTTTTATTGGTGTTGAAAGAGACAGTGTCTTTCAATGAATCACTAAGAAATTTTTATTAAAGCTGAGAGATCAGCTAAATAATTTGTGCATGCTAGTGTTCTCTAAATACTTAAGAATTGTTTATATTTAGAATATATTTTTTAATCTGTATATACTGCTCTTTGACTTACATTGCAGTAAAATTTATTTTATTTTGTTTTCTTCATATAGATGATAGTCGAACTGCAAGCCAGTTGGATGAATTTCAGGAATGCTTGTCTAAGTTTACTCGATATAATTCAGTACGACCTTTGGCTACATTGTCATATGCTAGCGATCTCTATAATGGTTCCAGCATAGTCTCTAGGTAAGTATTGGGCAGCACTCTTTACATTTACTTCTGCAAGAGTATCTAGAATTTAACCTAGAATTTAACAAGCAGTTTCATTGTTCTAGTTAAGAGCCTGGAACACTACATCAAAAACTAATGATGTAATGTATGGTGATTAACAGAACATAAAATAAAATAAAAAAAAAATAAGGAAATAAAAAAAAAGAGCCTGTGTTCTGAAGTCAGGTTGCCTGCCAGTTTTTATTTCTGTGGTCTTGGTCAAGTTCCTGAATCTCTTTAGTCCTCAATGTCTTCATCTTTAAAATGGAATGATTAATAGTATTCACCTCTTAGGGTTGCAGTTTGTGTTCTTACAATGTCTTTGTCTGGTTTTGGTGACAGGGTGTATATGCTCTTCTCATAAGGGCTTCCTCATCTTCAGTTTTCTAGAAGAGTTTGTGAAGAATTGGTATTATTTCTTCCTTAAATATTTTGTAGAATTCTCCAGTGAAACTATCTTGGCCTTGAGTTTTCTTTGAGGGAAGAGTTTTAAATATAAATTAAACTTTTTTTTTTTTTTAAAGATTTTATTTATTTGACAGAGAGAGATACAGCAAGAGAGGGAACACAAGCAGGGGGAGTGGGAGAGGGAGAAGCAGGCTTCCCGCTGAGCAGGGAACCTGATGCGGGGCTTGATCCCAGGACCCCGGGATCATGACCTGAGCTGAAGGCAGACACTTAATGACTGAGCCACCGAGACGCCCCTATAAATTAAATTTTTGAAAGAAGTGTAAGACTAATCAGGTTATTGATTTTTTTTTTCTTGATTGAACATTATTTTTAGTTTGTGTCTTTAAAAGAATTGCCCAGGGCGCTTGGGTGGCACAGTCAGTTAAATGTCTGCCTTTGGCTCAGGTCCTGATCCCAGGGTCCTGGGATCGAGCCCCCCATCGGGCTCCCTGATCGGTGGGGAGTCTGCTTCTCCCTCTCCCTCTGCCTGCTGCTCTGCCTACTTGTGTTCTCTCTTTCTCTTTGTCAAATAAATAAAATCTTAAAAAAAAATATTTGCCCATTTCACCTAGGTTGTTGAATTTATTGGCATTCATGTGTTTGTAATATTCCTTTATTATCCTTTTATGTCTTTAGATTCTCTAATGATGTTCCCTTTCTCATTCCTGATATTGGAAACTTGTTTCCCATTTTGTTTTCTTTTCCTTAATAGTCTGGTTTAGAAGTTTATCAATTTTATTTGTCTTTTCAAATAGCTCTTAGTTTATTGATATTCTATATTTTTCTGTTTCATTGATTTCTGCTCTTAACTTTATTATTTCTTTTTTTCCTGCTTTCTTTAGATTTAATTTGCCTCTTACCTTTGTTGTTTCTTAAGGTAGAAACTAAAGTGATTGAGTTGAAAATTTGCTTCTGTAATATAATTTGTGCTCCATGCCCTGAATTAGCTGCATCCCATGAATTTTTGATGTGGCATTTTTTCTTTTTCCAAATTTTACTTTTATTGTGATAAAATACACGTAACATAAAATACACTATCTTAACGAGTGTGCTATTCAGTGGTATTTAATAAATACCTTCATAATATTGTGCAAGTGTCACTAGTATCCATTGTTTTAATATTTGACATCTTGTAAAACTGAAAATCAGTATCCGTTAAACAGTAACTCTTCGTTCCCATCTTCCCCGAATACTGGCAACCACCCTTCTACTTTATTTCTCTATTATTTTGACTACTCCGAGTAACTCATTTAAGTGAAATTATACAGTATTTGTTTTTTTGTGACTGGCTTATTTCACTTAGCAAAATGTTGTCAGTTTTTGTCCATGTTGTAGCATAAATCAGAATTTTACTACGTTTTAAGGCTGAATTACACTCCATTGTATGTATGTATATGCCACATTTTGCTTATCTGTCTGTTGATGGACACATGTTGCTTCCATGTTCTTTTTTTCTTTTTTATTATGTTATGTTAATCACCATTACATCATTAGTTTTTGATGTAGTGTTCCATGATTCATTGTTTGCATATAACCCCCAGTGCTCTATTCAGTACGTGCCCTCATTAATACCCATCACCAGGCTAACCCATCCCCCCACTCCCCTCCCCTCTAGAGCCCTCAGTTTGCTTCCATGTTTTTTAACTGTTGTGAATAATACTGCTATGAACATGGGTGAATAGCTACCTCTTCAAGACCTTAATTTCAGTTCTTTTAGGTATATCCCCAGATATAGCATTGCTGGATTATATGGTAATTCTATTTCTAACTTTTTGAGGAGCTGCCATACTGTTTTCCACAGTGGCTGTGCCATTTTATGATCCCACCAGCAGTGCATAAGGCTTCCAGTTTCTCCGCATTCTTGCCAGCACTTGTTATTTTCCGTTTTTTATAGTCACCATCCTAACAGATGTGAGGTGTGGTAGCTCTTAGATTTGCTTTGCATTTCCCTAATGACTAGTGATGTTGTGCATTGTTTCCTTTGCTTATTGGCCATTTGTTCTATAGAAATTTCTAATGAAGTCTTTGCCCAGTTTTGAATTTTGTTGTTGTTGTGTTTCAGTAGTTCTCTATATATTCTGCATATTAATCTCTTATCAGATATGTACATATTTCCTCTAATTCTGTGGGTTGTCTTTTTACATTGATACTGTCTATTGAGTCACAGAATTTTATAATTTACACGACATCTAATTTGTCTATTTTTCTTTTGTTGCCTGTGCTTTTGATGTCATATCCCAGAAATCATTATCAAATCCAAAGTCATGAAAAGAGTTTTGTAGTTTTGTGTTTTAGATTTAACTTTCTGATCCATTTTGAGTTAATTTTTGTGTATGGTGTTAGGTAAGGGACCAGCTTCATTCTTTTTTTTATGTGATTATGCAGTATCCCCAGCATCATTTCTTGAAAAACTCCGTTCCTTATTGAATGGTATTGCCACTCTTGTCAAAGGTCATTTGACCATATATATATATGTGGAAGGGTTTATTTCTGTTTCTCCTCTCTGCTTGGTTGGCCTGTATAGCTATTTTTATGCCACTACCACACTTTTTTTAAGAGAGAGAGTGAGAGAGTGAGGGCTGGGGGGCAGAGACAGAGGGAGACCTGAGATCATGACCTGAACCAAAATCAAGAGTCAGAGTCTTAACAGACTGAGCCACCCAAGTGCTCCAACATACTGTTTTATTATAGCTTTGTAGTAAATTTTGAAATCAGGAAGTGTGAGTCCTTTAGCTCTGTTCTTTTTCAAGATTGTTTTTTCTATTTCTGCAGAAAATGTCATTGGGATTTTGACAGGGACTGTATTGAATCTCCAGATTGCTTTGGGTAATATTGACATCTTAACAATACTCAGTCTTCTGATCCATGGACATGAGATGTATCTCCATTTATTTCTGTCTTCTTTAATTTTTTTCAGCAATTTTTTGTAGTTTTCCTTGCACACATCTTTCACTTTTGATTAATTCCTAAATATTTTTTTGATGCTGCTGTAAGTGGAGATGTTTCCATAATTTTATGACTATTCATTGTTATTGCATTGAAAATAGGATTTTCATTTTCGTTCAGTTCAAGAAACTTAAGTTTCTAATTTGATTTTTTTTTTCGACTCATGGATTATTGAGACATATCTTAATAGTTTTCAGATATTGGGATTTTCTAGTTATCTTTTTGTTATTTTTATCTTCATTATCTTGATGACTATTCTTTAAAAATTTTTAATAAAAATTTCTAATACACATAAAAATAGAATGGAATAATAATCCCTCATATAGCCATCTTCCAGATTCAGCATGATCCAGATTTTGCTATCCTTGCTTCTTTTATACTTTTCTTTTTTTAAAAAATATTTTATTTATTTATTTGACAGAGAGAGAGAGAGAGACAGCGAGAGAGGGAACACAAGCAGGGGGAGTGGAAGAGGGAGAAGCAGGCCTCCCGTGGAGCAGGGAGCCTGATGTAGGGCTCCATCCCTGGACCCTGGGCCCATGACCGGAGCCAAAGGCAGATGCTTAACGACTAAGCCACCCAGGCGCCCCTTCTTTTATACTTTTCATTCTTTCTTTGCTTACGTATTTCTTTTTTAAGATTTTATTTATATATTTAAAAGAGAGAGAGAGACAGCGATAGAGCACAAGTGGGGAGGAGAGGGACAAGCAGACTCCCCGCTGAGTGGGGAGCCCTCAGTGGGGCTCAATTCCAGGACCCTGGGATCATGATCTGAGCTGAAAGCAGATGCTTAACTGACTGAGCCACCCAGGTGCGCCTGCTTAATATTTTGAGGCAAATTTCAGATGCTATGTCATTTCATCCTTATATCCTTAAGAATGTAAATACGAACATCGTAAAACCACAGGGCTGTATCATATGTAACACAATTACCAGTAATCCCTTGGTATCATCACATTGCTTGTTTATGTTCAAAATCTCCTAGATATAATTAAGAAACCATAAAAAGATGTTTTCATGCAGATCAGGAATTTGGCAATTTTTAACTTGTCCAATACATTACTATGTATGGTTTTCCATTTGCATGATGAAGATTTTTATTAACATATAAGAATATTGATCTTGGAATTTAAGCTGATAGCTAAAGAGACTTGCAGTAAACCTTTTATTGTATTCCAGCTGGTTTAGCTCAGTATGAGTAAGACAAGAATTCATGCATTCATTTTTTTTCTATGTGTTGGGTAATGTGAGTTTTCTTTATCAAGCACTGGAGTGATTAAAGCTTGAAAATGCAGTACACTGTGGGGCTTATTTAATTTAATGAGTGATTAAATTTATATAACAAAAATTAATTGACTCCTTAATGTGGGCTAGGCTAAGAGTACAATCATGAACAGGCCAGATACAATGGTTGGATTTAGGAAAGCTCTTAGTATTATTTCAGTGCCTTTATAGAGGCAATGTAAGAAAGTTATTGAAACACTTTAGCTTGGAGTAACAGTGTAACACTATTACTTAATTTTTTAAATTTTTTTTTGAGAGAGAGCACCGTGTGCTTGTGCAGAAGTTGGGGTGGTGAG